AAGCAACAACTTCCACAATACATGGCATTTGTTGACTATGCAAATTGTCATGCACCGTACCTAAATCAGAAACTTTAGAGGCAGAGTCCTGCAAGCTGTATGTCATTTTTCCCAGCCCTGGGACTGTGTGGCAATGTAAAGTTTAGAACCACAGTTCTAGGCATTGATTCTGAGACTGTGGGAGGTCAGCCAACCACCCAGGGGGCTTGTTATGCACAGCCTGATGAAACAAAATGGGGCTGGCGCCTGGGCAAGTCTATTTTTAGTAAGATCCCTAGGTAATTCTCATATTAATCAAAGATTAGAATCACTGATCTGAGGAATTGATCTCATCAATTAAGGAAATGTCACTCAGTGTTCTAAATGTCATGTGGCCTGAACTTCTGCAGAGCTTGTTAGAAGGGCACGTCAGATGTATTGAATCAGATTCTCAGTCTAGAGTCCTGGCGTCTGCATTCAGAGCTCCCCAGGTGATTCTCTTGTATGCTAAAGTTATATATATTTGCTAGGTTTCTGGCTTTCATAACTAAGTGAATGTGGTGCTGTCTCCCAAGGAGAATGGTAGGTGAAGTCTGGGTTGGGCTGTGAGAACCAGGCCAGCCTGAGGCAGGTTAACTTCGAGGTGCCCTGCGCGTGACAGCCAAATGGGATGCCAACCAGGCACAGCAAACAAGAGACTGTAGTTAGAGGTGGGGTGTGGCCGGAGATAAGCCTTTGGAGTCATCTGTTGGTAGGAATTTAAACCTGGTTATTCATACAGGGTGGGAAGAAGAAAAGGTTTACTATCAGGATACAGGGAGCCAGTACTTAAGGCTAAGAAGAGGTTGAGATTGCAAAGGAAACCCAAAAATCCAGACACATGAACAATGGCTGTGAATTCTGTGAGATAATTTTACTTTTATAGCTATTTTTAGAGTGGGGTGGAAATTTTTAGTTAAGGAAAAAAAAAACACTTCTTATGGCTCCTGGACCTTAATTAATTTTCTAGATTCTGAAAAACTGTGCCTGAAGGCAAGCGGTGATATTCAAAATATTTAACTAGCAGGACTTCTGGGCGCCAGCCCTTTGATAGGCATCTACGGGAGGGGGGCTCTCAGCTGTGCTGCGCCTGAACCCGGTGGTTGCTGGGCTCTGAAGAAGCACAGAGGGGCTGGACGGCAAATGCTTCTGTGCTTTTTGCGATTGAGAAGTGGTACCCGCTGCTCAGCACCAGCCCTGCCCAAAGCCCTTCACCAGCCGAGTTCCGCCACTACTTCCTGCCTGCAGTTTCCTCTTAGACCTTCTCTACTGTTACTGTGTATTCATCATTTCTTGAGAACACCTTGTCTTTTTATCCTCTGCAGTCTTCCCAGTGCCTAGAGTTCCTTTCTCCTCTTTGCTTTGTACTGTACGTCTTTAAAGGCCCCAATAAAATAGCACTGCCTCTAAGGCAGGTGTGGTGGCACACACCTGTAATCCCAGCACTCAGGAGGCTGAGGCAGAAAGAGCACCTTGAGTTTAAGGCCAGCCTGAACTACATAATGAGATCCTGTCTCAAAACAAAAAAGAAAAAGAAACGAAAAGAAAGAAAGAAAAAACATAAAAAGAAAAGAAAAGGTTGTTGAATGACTCAACTTGACTGCAAGGTTAGAAGGGGACCTAGACCATCCTTGTCTCCAGTTGTTATTTAAAGCTCAGTGCTACAATGTGCTGCCACATGGATCAAAGTTAAAAACATGATGCTAAGTGAAAGAGGCAGTCACAGGAGCCTACATGTTGCATAATTCCATTTACAGGAAACATCCAGAATGGGCAAACCTGTAAAGACAGGAAGCAGATCAGGGACTGATCAATCACTCATGAGGTCAGGGTTAATTGGTAAGGGGAGGAAAATGTCCTAAAATTGGGGCTGGGGATGTGGCTCAGTCACAGAGCACTTACCCGTCATTCAGAAGACCCTTGTTCAGGGTCTTGCTGGGGAGCACTGCAAAAGAAAACAATTCTAAAATTGATTGTAACGTTACCCAACTCTCTGAATATACTGAACATCATCAAGTTATGGACTGTATTTATTCATTCGAGGTACTGGAAATTGAACCTGAATGAGGGCCTTCACACTGGGCTACATACTTGACCCTTTTAAAAAATATTTTTTATTTCGAGACGGGGTTTTACTATGTAGTTCAAGCTGATCTCAAACTCCCAGCAGCCCCCCTGCCTCAGCCTCCTGAGTGCTGGGTGTATACCACCATGCCCAACTCCTGGCTCTTTTAAATTTTATTATTTTATTTTTATTTTTATTTTGAGGCAGAGTCTTGCTAAGATGCAAAGTGTCCCGTGCTGGGCTCAAACTGATTCTCCCTACCTCAGCATCCCAAAGAACTGGTACCACAGGTATGTGCCACCGTGCCTGGCTGGGTTGCATATTTTAAGTGGGTAAAACATATATCAGTAAAACTGTTATTTGAAAAAGCACCTCTGCAACTCCATTGTCTGGCTCAAAAGGCAGCTCAGGTGCCCTGTGGGAGAAAGGCATCCTCCACGGGAACGAGCTGGAGGGATGTGCTGGGGTGTGACTCTTACGGGGAGCAGGCTTGGGAAAGGCACTGCATGAGTAGAAATCCAGTGAAGTCCTGATAATTGAGTGGGGCCACGAGATATTTCAGAAGGGCAGACTGATTGCTGGTGAAAACAAAAACCACTTCAATGAAGTCAAATTTCAGCTGCAGAGGCTGAGGAGCACTTAGGAAGGTGAAGTTGTACTTTGAAACTGGTACTCATGTGTGATCTCCTCCTATGACCCAGGCATCTTTTAGGAGGAAAGAGTTACTATCCAGGAGAGGGTTGAAATTCCCACCCACTGTGCCCGGAAGCTCAACAGCCTGAAAGGAAGGCTGCTCTCCATACCCCACTGGACGGGCTGACCTGTCACACCGTTGGGGGAGCGCTTGAGCCCATGCCTGAGTTTGAACCCTGGCTCTTATCACTTGCAGCTGCATTGCCTCATCTGGGCCCCACAATTCCTCTGTGCTTTCATTTTCTCTACCATAAAGTGGTGACATTTGCCTATAATCCCAGCAATCAGGAGGCTGAGGCAGGAGGATTGCCACAAGTGGAGGCCAGGCAAGGCTATATAGGACAGCCCGATTTACAAAGCCAAGTGAGGTTTGGGAAGTTGAAAGGATTCTTAGGTTCAGGGAAAGACAACAGCTGGCTAGTAAACAGCCTCATTGCTCAACCTGGCAGTGGGGCGCAGACTTCCTGCTTGTAGTGTCTGGGAGCCCTGATGCTGGAGCTGTTCAAGTCTGAACAGGATCTTTCTTGGCCCCTGAGGGGAAAATGAAGAAGCTGGGCAGCAACTCAGCCTGGGCTGGGCCCCAGAGCTTCAAATCATGCAGTTTTCTTTCTTACAGTTTCTGTTTCTCACCAGACAATGCAATCCTGAGATGGGAGAGAGGAGGGGTTCCTGTTCACTTCTATGCAAATTGACTCAGTTTTGTAGCAGATGTTGTTTGGTCAGATGCTAGGTTGGTGCTAAATGACTTAGGACTCCTTAGGCCCCCATGCTCTGGCTGCTTCAGCACACCTTAAAATGACATTGTGGGGATCAAAGGCACAGTACTCACCAGGCCTGGTGGCACATGCCTATAATCCCAGCGCTTGGAGGCTGAGGCAGGAGGGTTATGAGTTACAGGCCAGCCTGAGCTATGCAGCCAGATGCAGTCTCCAAACACCAAAAAACGAAAAAGAGAAGAAAATTCAATATTCTCAGTTCTTCATTTCCAGAGAGCCTCAGAATACCCAGATGTTGTACCTACAAAACCCCACATAGAAAGCTAACTATTTATGCTGAGAACTCACGCTGGCCATGTTTTGAGTTTCCCAGAACCTTCATCTGTTCCAAGCAATTTGTCCCCAAAGGTTCCCAGTCAGTGGTGAATATCAGAAACACCTAGGGAGCTTTCCCAACATCACGAGCCCTGGCATCAGCCCTGACCTGACTCACAATATTGAAAGGTGGGGCCGAGGTTTGTGTATATTTTAAAAAGATTCTCAGGTGACTCGGCTAAGAAGTGCTGCCAAAACCCATTAAAACGACTGGGAAATTCCAGCAATCTGGCACCCCAAATGTCTAGGCAACCCCATTAGGATGTCAGCCAGCATCCTGAGTCCCCTGATCTTAGGGATAGCAATGAATGGTACATTAACACGAGAAAACTCAGTGCCAGCCCCACATACAGATAGTGGGAAGTTGTTTTCTGTTCCCTGAATGCCACAGACTCAGACTAGGGTTTGGGATCAGCACTTTTCATTTATGCAAGTGTTCTTCTTGGTTGAGGTCAGCCCAGGATTGTTGGGTACAGAGTTTGGTACAGTTGATCCTAAAGAGGACCCCTGTGTGCAGTTGTATAGATGTGTACTACACAGAGGCATCAGGCTGAGGAAAAATTGAGAGCTGAAACTCCTTGCACACCACTTACCAAGCTCTGGGGCCCTGGCTCAGAGCCCCTTTATGTGCTTATGGGAGCACTGGCCTACAACTCTCCTAGTTTCACCTTCCAAAGCCACATTAAACTCAGGGATGCTGCACTAGCACAATGAGAAAACTCAACACAGCCCCACCTGCAAAGGAAGGGAAATGTTTTCTATTCCCTGGGTTCACACTGGTGCTTTGCATCAGCAATACTCATGCAAGTGCTCTTTTTGGTTGAGGTCAGCCCAAGGATTGTCAGCCCAAAACTCTACAAGAAACTGCATGTCAGTTTCATCATTTGCTTCTACCTTCCTTCCTTTCTTTCTCTCTCTTTCTTCATTTCTTGAGACAGGGTCTTGCTATGTATTTCAGGCTGGCTTTGTACTCACAGCGATCCTCCTGCCTCAGCCTCCTGAGTGCTGGAATCACAAGTGTGCACCACACACCTGGCTCATTTGCTTCTTTTTATGCTCCCCCCTCCTTTCCCTACAAACACCAGGGAGAGACCAAAACCTTCAGAAAAAAATCATATTTTATTGATCACCTTTATTCAGAATTATAAAAATAGATATAAATAAAAATCACAGAATATAATTATTAAATATTCAGTATACAGGAGTGGCCCTCACCTCATCCAGTGAGGATTGGATAACTAGGCGGGGAGGTCAGAAGGTATAATAACTGGCCCAGAAGGAGGCATCTGTGTGAAAGTGAAACAACAGATGCTAGCACTGGTCACCAGCTATGCCAGACTGATACATTCACAGGCCTATCATGTGAGGGACCCAAAGGGCCCCGTTGACTCGCAAGCTCTCCAGGCAGACTGCTCTGGGTGGCATCACAAACCGCAGTGCAGGGAAACATCCAGACCTACAGTCAGCCCCGAGGACATAGCAGTTCTGACGCCTGCCCTGGCGGCTGGGCCACAAGTCTCCACTGTACACACAGACTTCTGGATCTGTTCTTGGGATACCAGAGCTCTTCCCTCAGCCCATTAGCAGCTCTGTTCCCCAAATCGCTGTTTCCCCTTTGGCCGAACTCCTCCAGAGACTCTGCTGTCACACTCCCTAGTTGGGAAGTGACTCATTTCCCATCCTCGGCCTCCAGGGTGACCTCTACAGGGTGCTAGTTCACCTCCCACCATGCACAGAGGCACCACTGCAGGATTTAGTCCAAAAAAAGTCAGTAGCTGGTCAAAGTGGCACTGAGTCAGGACCACCTCTTCGGTCTGGCCAGGGGCATCTGGGTGGCCAGCACCCAGCTTGTGTCTGAGGGAAACTGTCGTCGTCACCCAGGTGGGCAGCACAAGCCAAGCCACCTCTGCAGAGCCCATCTCTCCAGTCTTTTCCTTCAGCGGATGGAGACCACCCGCCTATGGAAATGGAGGTCAGCATGGGAACAGATGGAAAGCTGTTTCTTTCCTCCCTTGGCTCCCTAGGGGTCCTAGAGGCCGAGGCCATCCCTAGTGTGGAACTGGATCCAGGGCAGGAACCTGGAGACCCTCGTGTAGACTCCTGGCTTGTCCTTCAAGGCGCATCCACGGCCCCAGCTCACAATCCCGGTCAGAGTGAGGTGATAGCTCCCAGTCTGGGGGTCTCGGGTGGAGCAGACCAGAGGCCCTCCGGAGTCTCCCTGGGAAGCCAGAGACACAAGTCATGAGCCCTGGGAGAAGGGTAGTCCCCTCCAACCAGCCCTAGAGCAGGGAGAGGTCCCCAGAGTGGAACTGTCCCAGAGCCTTCCGACTTTCCTTTTCCTGCCACACCAGTGTAAGTTCCTCTGCTGGGCTTTCAAAGCCCTGTCATCTGGCACCATGCCACCTGTGCTGCCAGACCTTACTTCTCCCCACCCTGCAATACGCTACACTTGGTGCCCACTTCGACCGAAACATTCTCCTGTCTTCCCTCCACTTCTCACTTTGTCCCTATCATCAATTCAGTTTCTTTTTAAAGCTACCCCTCGCTGCCCTGTCCTAACACTAACCTTTTTTTTTTGGTACCAGGGATGGAACTCAGGACCTCATGCTTGCCAAGTAGACACGGCGCTACTGAGGTACATCCCCAGCCTGAATGTTAACCTTTTCTAACTCACCCTGAATCTTGAGCACTAAACTATGTCTACTGTTCTCTTTTTCTTATGGTTCTTTTCTTTTCTTTGTTTATTTTTGTTCTTTGAGACAGGGTTTTGCTATGTAGTGCAGACCTGCCCTGAAGTCACTATGTAGCCCCCAGCTGGCCTTGAGCTCCCAGCAATCCTCCTGCCTCATCCTGCTGAGTGCTAGAATTACAAGCGTGAGCCACCACACCCACTTCTTCTGGTCTAAATAAATCACCCCCTCAAATCTGAAATGCCTAGCACAGACTAAGATCATGTCAAATATTTGGGGAACACATAAGGGTGTCTTTAAGCCCCCAAGAGACCTGGCTTCGTCAAGCTTTGGCTGGACAGAGGTTCCTCAATGCTGGCAGAGTCAGGCCCAGGAGCACCAGGGAAGTGTGTGGGTGACAGAGAGTTGCTTGAGATTCTTACCTGACAGGAATCTGTCTCCCACTGTGGGTCAGCAGCACACAGCATGTCAGTGGTAACTTCAGAGCCATAGTAGTGGGGCTGCTGGCACTCCTTGTAGGAAACCAACTTCACAGCAGTCATTTTCAGGCGTTCCGGGTAGAGATAGTCAGCTAGATGGAAGAAATGTGCAGTTTGCTTTAGGATTTGTCTGTCTACTGGGACTCTGCCAGGGAGGGGAAGCAAAAGGAAATCTCAAAAAAAGTTGCTACCAGGGACTTTTCCACCCTTATTCATTTTCCACCTGAACCGGAGACTTTAGCCCACCCGTGCCCATTCACCTTCTATAACTTACCTCTGAGGCACATCACCCCCTACACAGACAGTGCTCGCCTCCCCGTCTCTGGGCCCATCTGCCACCCCCATAGTGCCCCGTCCCCACAGCGGATCATGCCGCACTCATTTCCAGGTCACCGTCTTCCCCCAGATCTCCCTTGGTCAGCCTCGAATGTCACTTACCAAAATTCTCTTTCCCAAAGCCTGTGATCTCACAGCTTGTGCCAAAAGGGGCATCATCATTCTTGGGGGGCAGGCAGATGGTCTGTATGGACCGGGACGGCTGTGCACACTGGCCACTGCTGGAGCGGATCTTCAGCAAGGCTGGGGGTGAGAGAAGGGGTCAGAGAGGAAGGGCCACACCTGGTCCAGTAGCCACCGTCTCTCAATTCCTGACTGTTGAGGGAGTGGCTGGGTCATCCCTGGATCAGTCAGGGTCATAGGTCATTCAGGGAGGTCTGAAGGTGACTTGTCACCTGGAAGCCTCCCCTGCCCATGCTCCAAAGGCTTTGTTCCAGCTGCTGACAAAGACTTAGGCAGCTGGGCTGCCATATAGTATACAGCTGCACAGTTTATTTCTTGTTGAGGAAGCTGAGCCTAAACAGGATGTGGTGGTGCACCCCTGTGATCTCAGCACTTGGCAGGCTCAGGCGGAGGATCGCTGTGAGTTCGATGAATTTAAGGCCACTCTGCTATTAATACAAGACCCTGTCTCAAAAAATAATAATAATGAAATCCAGCCCAAGGCTCTACTCTCCAAATACCCAAATGGAGCATTCTCAGCGCAAACCATATTCCCATGGGGCTATTTCCTCTCAGAAGCAGCTACCTGTTTGGGAAAGTGGAAGTTTCTATAGAGCAGCATCAGATCTCTCATATATGCTTCAGTCTTAGCTCATCCCTGCTAGTCCCTTTGCTGAGTAAGGCAGAAGCTTCAAGTCCTCCACCACTTCAGCCTCTCCTGGGGCCTCTCCTTGGACCTCTCAGCCCAGCCACCATGGGCCCAGCTCACCAATGTCATTGTGGTGCGCCAGGCTTTCAGCGCTGTAGTTCTCATGCAGGATCAGCTTTTCAACCTCAAACTTCATTTCCCCAGGGGTCTCAGAGTTAAGCTTTGACCGGCCCAGGTAGACGATGTAGTCCTCCTCCGGGTATTCACTATGGGAGAGGAGACCCGTCAGACAGCCTGATTGTGCAAAATCCTGCCACTCCCTTCTCCCACACAGAGGCCTCAAAGCATGACTTGTGCCCAGAGGACGTGGGCTACATGGAGAGATGCTGAAGGGGATGATCAAGGTGGGGTCCTCCACAGGGAAGGAGACGGGTGTGCTTGGGGAGGGCAGGAGCATCGCAGAGAAGGGACAGACTGAGGGGGGGACGTACATGAAGCAGTGGGTGGCACTGACAACCCAGCAAGGGCTGATGAGGCTGCCACCGCAAATGTAGGAGACCGAGCCTCCCCGGTTCTTCCTGTAAATGGCTGCAAACCAGGGCTGGTTCTCGATGGTGGTGAACTCTCCACCTATGATCTTAAAGCGGGGCCTCACAGCCTTCTGGCCGCACTGGAACTCTTCCTGTTTGGGAGCAGAGGGACTTCTTCCTAGAGGAGCAAAAGAGGGGTGTCTTGGGTGGTGAGACAGACACACTATCCTTCTCAGGCAGGCCTCCCTTCTCATGTCTCCACTGAGAGAAGACTGCAGCACTGGGAATGTGTCCCCTTCCACCCCACTGTCATAAGCAATCAGTGGCACTCACCAAGAGAGCAGTCATGCACCATGCACTCTTGCACAAACTGCTTTAGACCAATCTGCACGTAGCACCAGGGTCGCCTCCGGTTGTCTGGGTTCCTGCAACATGAAGGACAAGAATGTCATTTGGACCCAGAACATCTCGCCTGCATCCTCCCCTCCAGGAAGATTTTCAAGCAAAGGCCTGGCCAGCACTCCCTGAGCTGACGTGGATGGCAGCCAAGGTTTCGGAGAGGCTGTGGGAGGACCTCTGTTTCTCACCTCCCCACCTCACCTGCAGTAATTGTGTTTGCCCAGGCCCAGGCCCACAGCATCAGATCTGTAGGCGTGGAACTTTTGCTGAAGGACAGTTGCAGAGTTCCAGGCCAGGCAGGGCCGTCCTTTGGTGTCAGTGTGGGCCTTTCCTCTGTAAGAGTGACCATTCCCCTCATAGCAGGTTTTGGATGCATCTGTGAAGAATGTCAGAGGACAGAGAGATGACATGGTTTCCAACCTGACAGATGACTCTGGAAGTCTTCTACCCCCACCTTTTTTTTCTTCTGCTTCTTTTTGTAAAGACATCACTCACTCTGTAGCCTCAAATCATGACAACTCTCCTGCCTCAGCCTCCAGAGTGCTGGGATTAGAGGCGTGCAACACCACCACAATTTCTGCCTGCTCTCACTCACATCCCACCCACCTCTCTCTGACTTGAAATCTCTGGTGCTGCTCCTTCCCAGCGCAAGTCTGCACCCTCTTACCTATCTCACAGTGCTCCCCCTGGAATTTCTTCGGACAGTTGCATCGCAGCATTTTGGAGAAGTACTTGTAGGTCACGCACCGACCTCCGTTCAGACAGCCACAGTTTTCTGGGGTGGGTGGGGGAGGGCAAAAGTGGAGTAAGCACCGCTGTGGAAGGAGGCAAGGAGGCAAGCCAGCGCTGCAGAAGGGCCAGGGAGGGGCTGCCCCTAAGGCCTTCCAAGATGTCTGTGCAGCCAGCTATTGCGAAAGGGGCAATACTCACCTGCATCTGTCTCTCCAACTTTCTGGCTGCCCTGCAAGAGATGGGGAAGGGGGCTGTCACCGGATTGCCCTGCTGGGACCCCGCAGTGAGGATTCATTGGCCTCAGTCCCGCCCCCAGCTCCCTCTGTCTTCGCCCCGTCCATGTCTAACCACTCAACGAATGGAAAACCAGAGGTTTTCAGCCAGGAGACAGGGATCGGCTCAAGCGTCGCCCTCCAACCAAAGCTGTCTCCCTGCGGCTTGCAGCCCTCTTGGTTCTCAACGCCCCCGGGGCCACCCTTGTTCTACTCCCGGAGAGAGTCTGCTGCTGCTTCTGCTGCTGCTTCTGCTGCTGCTGCTTCTGCTGCTGCTGGGATCCGGAGGACTCCAGCTCCCCCATGCTCCTCTCCCTTCCCGGGGCGGTTCCCGGGGTCCCGCAAGCCCCCGCCTGCGACAGGCAAAGCAGGGAGGCCACTCACTTCGGAGTCGCTCACGACCAGGGCGCAGAGGAGCAGGAAGGCCAGCAGGCTGCTCATGGTGGCGGGGCTGGGGCTCGGACCGCGGCTCTGCAAGGCAAGGAGAAGTCAAGGCCAACCGCAGAGGAGCGAGAAGGGGCGGCGCAGCGGGGGTGACTGCGGCTCCGGGAGAAGCCCAGGTTCCCCGCGGGGCACGGGCTGGACTGCGCCTCCCTCTGGCTGCTTCGGGCTCCCCGAGCAACCCGGCCCGGCATCTTCCGGGTCACACAGGAGCCAAGCGTTGGCCGGGCCCGCAGCCAGGGAGGGGGAGGAGGGAAGCGGGCAGGAGCCGCACTCACCGGCAGGCGCGGGGCTCTGCAGGGGTTAGGTAGGGACGGAGCCGGCTGGGGGCTCGAGTCTAGCGCTGGACTGGAGTCCGCGGCCCGGCTTTATATCAGGGCTCGCCCCGCCCCGGCCCCGCCCCGACGCGCCGCGGTCCCCCCTTCCTTCCTAGTGCTGGATCTGGACCCCGGGAGCTCCAGCCACTTTAACGAAGAGCGCGTGCGTGTGAGCGTGTGTGCGTGTGTGTGTGTGTGTGTGTAGCGGGTGGGTGACCGATGCCCACAGAACCGGACCAGCAATCTTGCGATCAGTTTTTCGCCCTTCTGCCTATTAGCCTGGCCCTGGACCCCGCCCCGGAGCAGCGTCCCCGGAATCTCAGAGGCGAAAAGGAGAAGCTCGCTATAGACTTCGTCCTTGCTCTGAAGCCTCCTCTCCAGCCCCTTGATGAGTTCTCCGACCTGTCCATCCTTTGCCGCCACAAACCTAGGGAAGTGATTCAGACCCACGCAGACAGGGGCAGAGTCCACAGCTCATATAGTATCTGTATCAACGTGAATACCGGGTGGGACAAACTACCTGAGAGGCAGTTACAAAAACACCTGCTAACAGGGGACGCCTGGTGTCCCCAGACATCACCGTATAGCTTGTGGGTGGATGACGAGCTGGATTTATTGCTCACCGCAGGAAGAGGATTTGATAGTTGTCATCCGAGGGGCAAAGGCAAGGCCAGATCTTACTCTGAATTCACTCTTTGGTTTAGGGTCCGTCTTTGAAAGGACAGGATTGTGGAAAGCCTGGTAAGGATTGGATATGCTATTGTGAGATCGTGGGGACGCAGACTTCGGGACACAAACTATCGGTGCTTCCTACTGGAGGGTCAGTGGGTCTTTTAGGAAGTTCCTATAATGAGCAATCCATTTGTTTGTCTGGAAAATAATAAAGTTAGTTAGCAAAGAGTGTATTGTCAAATCTTATTAATGTACTCTAAATTTTGTCAGGGTAGGAAGTTCTGCTCTCACCTCAGAGTAGAGTAGCTGGGGATCTGGAGGACAAGATCAGAGGAAGACTTATTTTTCACTGTATGGCCTTTTAAACTTGTTTTCTAGCCGGAGATTTAGCTCAGTGGTTCCGTCGTCTGCCTCGCAAGCACAAAGACCTGAGTTCAATCCCCAGTACCAAAACAAAACAAAACAAAAAAAACATAAACTTGCTTTCTTTTTGAACATATTTCTACTTTATCCATTCTGAAAAGATAAATGCATATTTTTAAAAGCATCCAGGCTGGAGGTGTAGCAGTGGTAGAGTGTTTGCCTAGCATGTGCCATGCCCTGGATTTGATACCCAGGAAAAATAAAGAATTAATTAAATATATATATGTATATCACTTCATCACACAGCACTGTTTATATTAACATAAAAATAGGGGCCAGGGATTTAGCTCAGTGGTTCTGCCGACTGCCTGGCAAGCACACGATCCTGAGTTCGATCTCTGGTACAAAAAAAAAAAAGATAAAACGATTGTTTAGGCATACTGTGGTGGCGCATGCCTGTAACCCCAGCACTCTGAGGGGCTGAGGCAGGAAGATCACAAGTTTGAACCCACCCCGGAAAACTTAGTGACTTAGCAAGAAGACCGTCCCTCAAAATTAAAAAGTTGAAAAGGGCTGAGGAGGTAGGTCAGTGTGACAGCCTTGGGTTCAAACCCCAGTACAGAAGGAAGGAAGGAAGAGAGGGAGGGAGGGAGGGAGGAAGGAAGAGAGAGGGAAGGAAAGAAGGAGAGAAAGAAAATTGTTTATTGGATAAAATTGTTCTCCAGAAAGATCACATGTAAATGACTCCTCTTGCCCTTCCTGCCTAAGGACAAGCGTACACATCTGTGTGCACACACACATGGCCCAGGCACAGCTGGTGAAGTTCAGCAAGGACTCTGCGGTTTAGTCACTTTTATCCCTTTTCCCTACTGCCAGGCACTAGGGTTGGGGTCATTTCAATGCACCCAGCAGAATGGCTCCCTTATAGTGGGAAGAGTCTGTAACCTCGAAACTCATTAAGGCCCAAGCGTTTCCAAAACCTATAGCGTTTTGCTGCCTTGCAAACCTAGACCTTAGGCCTGGGTCCCCACTTGAGAGAGACAGCAAGGAGAGAGAAGCCAGGAGGAGGCAAGGAGGAGGGCTCCTTCGCAGTGGCCCAGCTAGAGGTACCAAGATAAAGTACAAGTTAACTACCCAGCTTTGGGAGGCAGGTCACCGACCCATCATCCTCCAGAGTTAGTGATATGCCTGCTGACCTGCCATCTTTCAGGGAACCACTGTGGCAGAGCCCATCTTCCTACTTCCTCTGGAAGACTGTGGCCAGTTTTGTTTAGATCTGAGAACCGTTAATTGTAAATAAATGTGACCAAAACATAAACAGAAATATTGCAGCCTGAGGACTTATCCTGAAACTCCTAGGTTAGCCATTAGGAAATTCCCAGCAGTCTGTCATGATTCACATCACTGCCCCAGCTGCTCCCATGACTCCGAATTACTTGGCTAGAGGCTGTCATGCTGATTCTTTGAGAGCAAGATGACCTCATTTCCTCCTGGACAGAGACCGTTAGGCAGTACGACACCCTTCTTTCCCCTGCTGCCCCTTGCCATCTCGTCACCTGGGTGGATTATCCCAGTGCCTCTGACGCTTCACAGAACTCCCCTTTCCACCCTGCCAATCCTCAAACTTCCCTGAAATCTCTGGTCATCTTTTGGTGCAGTCTAGATTTTTCATTCTTTGGTGGCGAAGTACACACCTTCGACACCTTTAGCTCTCACCCAGCACTTGCCACAGGTCTTAATTAAGTAGGTGTTTTATGATGAATTAATCAGTGAATGAGTAGGATCAGAGGGTTCTAGGACACACTGGAAGGTGCCCCCCTCTATATTTTTTCATAAGAAGTAGTAGCTTAGGCTGGGGATTTAGCTCAGTGGCTCGCAAGCACAAAGACCCAAGTCTGATCCCCAGTACCAAAAAAAAAAAGAATCCAAGAAGTAGTAGCTTACACTATTTTTTGTATAGTATTTCAGTCTTGTGCTTAAAGGCATTTGGGGGTCAACTACTTCTCTTTGAACTTACAACTACCTTATGGTGCAGACTGGATTTGTTTTTCCCGTTTTGCAGATGAAAATGAAGTGAAGCAAAGATCTAGAGTGAATGAGTGTCAAAGCCTGCACTCGACCTCAGGGCTTCTCACCCTTGTTCTCTTGTTCTGTCCCTCACTGTCACCAAAACGAGACGGAATGATGTGAAGAAAAGAGCCGAGTTACAATATAACATGTCCGGCTAGGTGATGTCCGTTGTTCAAAGCCAAGCAAAGGGGTACACAACTGTACAAGTATTTGGGAGACTAAGGCAGGAGGACCACAAGTTTGAGGCCAGCCTGGGCAGTTTAGCAAGACTCTGTCTCAAAATTTTAAAAGAGCTGGGGATGTAGCCCAGTGGTACTGTGCTTGCCTAGCATGCATGAGGTCCTGGGTTCAGTCCACGGTACTGAAAAAAAAAAAAAATACCGCCACCAGCTTTGGAGACCTCCTCGCAGAAACACTGCTCTGAGGTCCCTGGTTAGTTGCTTGAATTCCAGGAACTTCCTTTGTGGTCTAGATTCTCTGAAGTTTCTGTTGAAGGTGTGAGAAGGAACTAAATACATATGATTTCATTCTTCCTTCCCCTGGCTTCAAGAGGAAGGGCACCAATCCCTGTTCTGTGTCTCAGCGATCCAGATTTGGTGATAGAGTTGATGGAGGGGCCCCTATCTAGGAGCTGCTTTTAAAAAGGGAGGCATGGGCCAGGGATTTCAGTGGTGCTGCACCCACCCTGCAAGTACAAAGTCCTAAGTTCAATCCCTGTTACCAAAAAAAAAAAAAGGAGGCAGTGGCCTTTACATGTGCAGGAAAAAACAGTGCCTAAACCTGGCCTAAGCCACGTGTGGTGGCACACTCCTGTAATCCCAGCATTCAGGAGGCTGAGGCAAGAGGATCACTGTGAGTTCGAGACCTGGACTACATAGTGAATACAGGTCAGTCTCAACTACATAGTGAGACCCTGTCTCAAAAGCCAAAATAATAATAATAATTAATAATAATAGTAAAACTGGCCTTGACACAACATCCAGGAAGCAGAAACCCTGAAAAGCTGTTTTCTCTGCTGCTAGACCCCAAGAGAAGTTCATGTGGAATCATAGGATGTATTCCTGAACAGCAACGTGGTCCTACAGAAAGACCAATCCATTCTAAATGATCTTAGATGGGACACTCAATGCTTTTAGACTCAGCTCTCCTGTCTGCAAAACACAGCAATACCTGCCTTGCCTACACCTCACTTTGCAGATTGACTAGATCATGCTCCTGTGTGAAAGTGTTCATTCTTTCCTCCAGTATTTATGACGGGCCTACTATGTTCCTGGCACAGCTCCAGATACTAGAGGTGGAGGGTAGAGTATAGCTCCTACCCTGGGTACTTCTCATCCCAATTCTGGCCATGTTGACTGGAAGATCAGGTCATGCTGGACTCCATCTCGTGATTCCAGTTAAATGAGAATGCTGTGTCTTTGACCCACAGTTCCCAGGAACTAAGCAGCTGCAACACACAGCTGCAAGTGCCGTGCCCCCACAGCCCTAACTCCTACTCACCGTCCTTAATTGCTCTTTGTGACCCGGAGCTTTTCTTGTCCTCTTAGTGTACAACAAACAGACCCCTGCAGTTTTGCAACAGCTTCCTTGGGTTTGGGCCTGAGGACCCTTTCTCTCCTTAAAGGTGACAATGGCTTTGGAAGAAAGCCACGTCAGGCCTGTAATGTGATAGGGGAGGTACTAGGGTTACAGGGTCCCCAGCGGCCTGTGGATAGGGGTGGAGGGAAGCCACATACTTGCATCCTTACTCATGGAAAGCAAAGGGCCCAGAGGCTGGACCCTGAGGTTAGACTGTGTCTTAACACCATGAAGCCCTGGCTCTGACAGTTCCTCCACTCTGGCCCCCTAAACTCCCTCGTGTGTTCAGCCTCCCCATCTCTGGCCAGATTTCTAGCCCCACCCAGTCAGCCCCGACCTCTGCATGAATGTC